GGATTCTGTTCGTCCACGTGTCCAGATCTAATGGATGAGAAACACTGATTTTTTTTAAAAACGCGGTGGCATTTTCGTAAATAATTGAACATCGAAGTGCAAGTAAAATGTATTACAAGTGCATGTAAAATGTATTATAGGTGCAAGTAAAAATTTACACTGAGCATCAATACTTAGTTGCACTTATAGTTCTAAGTAGTTGCACACATAGATATAAGTAGTTGCATCTAGGTGTATGAATGTTTGCGTGTGGTTTTCAGGAGTATTACTACCCGCTGAACTCAGATCAATGAATGTTAACAAGGCAAAATTACATGCACTTATAGGTGAAAGTAGGTGCACCTATAGTTATAATAAGTAGTTGCACCTATAGTTATAAATAGTTGCACATATAGTTATAAGCACACCCAGGTGCATGAATGGTTGCGGAAAGTGAATGCTAACAAGGCAAAATTACATGCACTTATAGGTGAAAATAGGCGCACTTATAAGATATTTTACTTGCACTTCGATGTTCAATTATTTACGAAAATGCTACCGCGTTTTTTTTTTAAGTTATTAGATCTGGACACGTGCCGCGCGCTGATTCGTTCGCATTTCCTTCCTGGGCACTTATTTGCACTTGAGTGCGTCCCTATATATATATATATATATATATATATATATATATATATATATATATATATATATATATATATATATATATATATTGGGCGTTGATAAGTGTTACAATTGTGTCACTTTTATGGGGTATTTAGGAGTAATATTTTGCTATAATTAGATTCCTTTAGGATTATATGCTTAGAATAACTTATTTTGTTTAAATTTAGGCACAAGGATTAATTTTGGTTACATTATTTGAAAACAGCAAAATATTGACAATTTCGGGACATTTTGGTGACAGTTTGGTAATTAATCATATCTGAAGCTAGAAGTGTTCAAATGAGGCGATTCAAGTGGAATTGGATCGGCATTTCAAAGAGCTACAACATTCATGAAGACCACGAAAGCCAATTCAGACATTTAGGCAGTCAAAATCAGCAAAAATCGTGTCAGGACCCCCAATTACGCAACGCGTCACGCAGTGACGCCAGAGTAAATGGGAAATAATAGGCTTTTTGACAAGTTTTTAAAGCTAAAATTTCAGATCTATATGCATCTTCATTGTTCATTTTTCAATATTTCTCTCACTAGATTTTTAGGTTAGATTAAGTTAGTTTTTCCTCTCCCTTCTCTCTAAGATTAGCTCTCAAATTTGTAAGAAGAAGAGGTGGATTCAAGCAAATCTTGAGTGGATCTTCATCTTCTATTTGGATTGTTGGATAATCTAAACTTTGCAATTTGGGTAACCTTTAATCTCTACTCTTTTATTGCCTTATTTGTGGATGCCTATTTTGCTAATGTTTGGGTTATTTAACTTGATCATGAGTAGCTAGATCTTTATTTGTGAATTGGATCCTTTTGCCTTGTGTAGAATATGTATTGATCTAGTTTGTGTGGCTATGTGTTGATGTCTTGTTGTAAGGAGACATTGTATGGACTCTTATGTATGGTGTACAACATATGCTTGAGGTTTGAGTAGGATTAGGTCTACAAGAGATTGTGGTTTAATCCTAGACTCGTCTTCCTTGCATTTCCCTTCTCTAAGATCCAAGAGGACGGAGATAGGAATGAGATGTAGACAAGGTGTTTGTTGAAATACTCATAAGGAACGTGGTCACAGAATGGTGGTTCCACGCCTATGAAAGACCTAGTAATCGTGATGTGAACGACATTGGAAGTCATCTCACATGACTCTTTCAACACTAGCCGCACCCTAGGTTGATTCATTGCACACACAAGGGATTGGGCAATCCAATTCGCTCCCCCTTTTATTTTATACTTCTTTTGCTTTCTTTTACTTGTTTTCCTTTGTTGCACTCCTTGTTCCCTTCTTTCCCTTGCACATATGCTCCCACCTACACTCCTTGCACCTAGTTACTTTGTTAATGCATTATGACACGTGATTGTCTTGCACTCTATTTACTCCGACTTGCCATCCTTGAGTTCAACACTCGGGGAATCCACATCTCCGTTTACACTTTCTACCATCTATCCCACTTTCTACATCTTTCACACATCGGCCGGGTTGGCCGAGTTCAGCCCCTGCTCGATTCGAGACGTGTGGTGTTGTGGCTTACCATGGAGAGATATCGTTAAATGGTTAATGTCCACCTACTTATCACCAATTGGTTTTAAGTAGGATATGGCAACAGGTACCATAGAACTTTATGGTTAAGCGTGCTTGACTTCTAGCAATCTCGAGATGGGTGACCCATTGGGAAGTATGCATAGTGCAGCGCGTGATTCCCTTAGTTATGTTGCATAACTTGAACCAAACACCCCCTTATGAAAATCCACTTTCCATTCCAATGTGGGACAAAGGCTTGGGAATGCATAGTGCAGCGCGTGATTCCCTTAGTTATGTTGCATAACCTTCCATTCCAATGTGGGACAAAGGCTACTTCCAAGTAGCCGTGGGACAAAGGCTTGGGAAGTATGCATAGTGCAGCGCGTGATTCCCTTAGTTATGTTGCATAACCTTCCATTCCAATGTGGGACAAAGGCTACTTCCGAGTAGCCGTGACCATGGTTCGCGGTTCACGATTCCAACAAATTCCAAACCGGAATCAAAATTTTATATTAAGGTTTCGATTCCGATTAGAATACCGTGTTTTTTTTTTTTAAATGTTTAATGTGTTGTTGTTTTTTTTAATTCCAAGTTAGAAAGGATTCACATTGGTTCCGAATTTTAATCGGCGGTTCCAGTTCTAGAATTCCTTAAACCGGAACTGGAACCTTTTGGGTTCCGGTGTCGGTTCGAGTTCGGATTCGATTCTAACAGTACACGGTTTGGTTTGGTTCGATCCGTCCGGTTTGAACCGAACCGTGTTCATGTCTACTTCCAAGCATTCCAAATTCCATTTTCCAACTCAAATGGGTTTACTTTGAAAATCAATCTCTCATCCACATATTATCCATTTTGAGTGTACAATATATTAATTTCTTCGTCTAATTTCGAAGAACCTGAATCCACTTTTCTCGACACAATCAAAAGTAGATCTCACATATATTTGTAAATACTTAAATTGTCATTTTTACTAAAAATTTCCAACATCTTAATCCTTCCAAATTATCAACTTTTTTTTTCACTTTCTTATTTAGTTAAAAAAAAAAAAAAAAAAAAAAAAAAAAAAAAAAAAAAAAAAACCTTGAGTTTGAGATGCCCTTATAATGTTACAAGTTTTTAATGCCAAAATGTTAGGTGGCTTCATGTGATCCCCAGAGTTGAGTATAATCATTGCAACAAGTTTAAATGCATACAAGACTAGTCTTGAAAATTAAATACAAAAATCATGGTCCACTTGTGAAAATGTGGCTCAATCTAGGATAAAAAGAATCAAGTTGTATTGGGACATCCCGAATAAGGGGATCTTCACCACATTTTAGAATAATAAAATCTCTTGGGGTAAATTTTGACAAATGGAGTGGGAGAATTTTGGAGAAGTTTTGCTCTTGCAAAACCAAAACCCTTGTCAATAAAATAAAAAAAATAAATAAATAAAAAAATAAAAAGCTTTTTCATAGTGGCCCACTGGCCAATCTGAAATTTAATTTTCGCGGTTGCCATTGCAACGACACACCTTCTTTCTTTTCTTTTTTTTTTTTTCTTTTTTTCTTTTCTTTGTTAAATTATTATTATTTTTTTTATTATTTACTATAAATATCACATTTTTCATAAATTTTAACACATTTCAATCTACTCCTAATTTATTTTTATATTTCTCTCAATTTAATTTTTTAGTTTAATTTTTAAGCAATTATTTGTTTAATTTTCAAGCAATTATTTGTTTAATTTTCATTCTATAACTATCGTATTAATTAATTAGACGTACTATGTTTATTTTAATTACGTTTGGAAATGAAATTTTTAAGCAATTATTTGTTTAATTTTCATATTTAGGCATGTTCATTCATTCATAAATTTATAAATCAAATAAATAAAGAAATAATTAAAATATGGAGATAAAATGGTGGGTCCACAAAAAGTTGTGAAAAAACTTAAAACTAATGGAAAGAATAGATTTTGTGATTGAGTAAGATAATGGATGATGATGTGGATGTTGGGACCCACAAAAATCTGAGGTTAAATCTCCAACTATTGAGAATGCGAATGATTTGCTAGCCTAAAAATCAAATGATGATTGAGAACATATAATTTCTAGAAAAATAAAAATTGGCACTTTTAACCTTAATGTCTTTAAATTCAATCTTTCTTTTTATCTTTTTGGTTTCTAAAAGCATCCTCACTAGTTAACTTTTTGCATAAATTTTAAGATGCCAAGTAGGGAAGGAAGAACGGAAAAAACAAACAAAAAAATGAGTTTTCAAATAATTATAACAATATCTCCATCGAGCTGAATTGCATATCATAGTTCAGATGAGTCTTTTTCATTGTCATGTTTGTCACCCAAGATGATATTCACATACGTCATGACCAAGTTTATCGTTTCACACTTTATGAAAAAAAAAAAAAAAAACTCACCAAGTAAACAAGAGGAATAAACTCGTCAAAACAACGAGAAGAAAAACACATAAAACTGCAAACAAAATTAAACCAGTAAAACAAAACAAAGGGAAACAACAATGCAAAAATAAAGGAGTAGCGACCGGTAACGGTAGAAATGGAGGGGTGGGGCATGGTGTAACCGACAAAGGCGGAGAATGGACGAGAAGACGATGAAGGCTGCAGAGAAGACAATGAAGGCGAACGTTGTCTGCAGTGTAGATGGCGACAGGGGAAGACGATCGGATGCTGCCTCCGATCCGCTTGCTTCACATAGGTGGCGGCCATGTAAAAAGTTGAGCAGTCGAAAACCAAAGACGAGAGAGAATTCGAGAAACCCTTATGAAAACAATTGTTAAGAAATGCAATTTTTCCTAATTTCCACTCAGTACAGAATAATGTTCAAACAGTTGAAGAGGAAAATTAGGTGTAAAAGTCGTCAATGTAGAAAAGAATGGAGTAGATGGGCCACAATGAATGTAAATCCAAAATATATGAGCATCACCCATTGAACATTAAACATACATTCTACTAGCTTGCTTATTGAACGGTGGATTGTTGTTTAAGAAAATAAGACAAAAGAGCAAAGCAGGAGCAATGAAAATCCCTTGCAAGTTGCAATGGAAGGCCAACTACTATCACATCACAGTATAATATTAGCCTCAATGGAAGTGCAGAAGTAGCACCAAGAATCATCTTCCCAAACAATTAAGGAAAGCCGGGATGGCGAGTGAATGCCTTACTGGAAATCTGGCTTCTCTGGGTATGTGCAGCCAGGCCTCTGGATGATCACGTTTGCTCCATAGCAACCTGCTCTAACGCACTCTGCAATCGGTTTTTCCTGGACCAACTGTGACAGGAATCCCCCAACAAATGCATCACCTGAGAAAGTTTAAGATTATTAAGTGTCAATGGATTCCTTCCTTGCCTCGATTACATATGCAGTTTAATGAAGCAACATAAAAGATTTTGTGCTTGCTTGATTAATGCCCGCCCACCATTATGGCGTACATTGTTTGGGGTTGGAGGACTTGAAGAACTCATTACTTTGGGTTTAGGAGGGCTTGTGTTAAACTAGTTACAAGTGCCTAAGCGGTAGAAGCCACATATCTGCACCATTAGTTTCAACTTTATCATAGGATTTGAACTCGTGACCTTAGGTTTAGGAAGGCTCGTGTTATAGTTACAAGTGGTAGAAGTCACATAGACACCACATACCTGCTGCCCCATTTGTGTCAACGAGTTTCTCTTGTGGCAACTTTATCACAAGATTCGAACTCATGCCCTTGGGGGTTTAGGAAGGCTCGTGTTAAACTAGTTACAAGTGGTAGAAGTCACATAGACCACATAACTAACCCCATTAGTGTCAACTTTATCACAAGATTTGAACTCATGACCTTGGGTTTAGGAAGGCTCGTGTTAAACTAGTTACAAGTGGTAGAAGCCACAGACCACATACCTGCCACCCCATTAGTGCCTACAAGTTTCTCTTGTGGCAACTTTATTACAGGATTCGAACTCGTGACTTTGGGTTCAGGCCGCCTCGTGTTAAAAAGTAGTTATATAACTTATAAGCGGACTTATAAGCGATAGAAATCACATAGACAGCATACCTGCACCATTAGTGTCAACTAGTTTCTCTTTCGGCAACGTTATCACAGGATACAACTTTACTTTCCCGTCCTCAGCTACAACAACAGGATCAGCGCCCTGAGTAATAACAGTGATTCTCTTGTGTGTTCCCGATGCCTTAGGCCACTGGGAGATTTTCAAAGCTATTTCTTCAACATTATCGGTCTGGTTCACAAAAGCAATATCATTAGGTGTAATATAAAATGATCAAAACACCATTTATTATTAAATAGTAGGAAATATAATGCAAAACAAATATTACCTCCCAACCATGAACTTTTGAGAAGGTTCTTGCTTCTGTCTCATTTCCAAAGACGTAGTCCACATACCTAAACACCAAAAATGGCAACCGTGAATCAATGTCTGTTATCAATTATTGAATTGCTATTTAAAATTATACAGTATAGTGCTTACGGCAAAGCCTTCTCTTGGACTTCCCTGAAAAACTCACAAATGAATGGAGCGGAAAGGTTCATCATGAACACCTACAATTAAGAAAATACCCAACGTTTTTTCATTCAGAAACAGCCTTAGAAGAACAAAATCGGAAATAGTTTGACCTGATTTGCGTACAGAATCACACCTTGTTTTTGGCAGCTGCATGCTCAGCAACAAGCTGAATGGATTCCGGGGAAACAGTGAGGAAAAATCCAGCAATGTAGTAGTACTTGGCCTTCTCGACTATATACAAAAATAAATGTTGGCTTAAAGTAAAAGAATTTAGAACTTGGACATAGTACAAGTTGCTCCGTATAAGAAATGAAGCATACCTAACGCCCAATTTTCTGGTTTTCTCAAATGTTCAGACTTGTAGCAATTTGCAGCCGACAAGTTGGCAATTAGTGACCTGCAGAGTTAGTTTTTCCATAATCCCGTTAGGCAAATAATGCATGTCAAGAAGTTCGAAAGTATTCCTAAACTGTACATTAAGAAGAGTTAAGTCCTTTTCCATATTGCCCTTTCTTTAGAAAAGTTTATTTTGTGTTATTGTCATTACCAATTTGAAAAACCAAGAGAAGTTTTTGTGCAAGCACGGCCATTAGGACTTAGGAGCACCGAAGAATCACTGTTTTCTAACAAACATTTTCTCTACAGATCCCAATTTTAATTTACTCTCTTTACTAATTAATCTATGGAGTTAATTCAATTTTTTGTCCTAGATTTATAGGTGGCAGTCCACTTTTAGTCCTTTTTCAGAATATCCTCCTTTGGTCCTAGTATTAGTGTGGCATGACCATTTTTTGTCTTCCGTCAACAAAATAGATAGTTGACATTCATTTCGATTTTTTTTATACAAAATGGGTTGACCAGCTATATTTTATGAATTTTAAACAATTTTGTTGATGGAAGACAAAAAACGGTATGCCACAATAATATTAAGACCAAAGGGGATGTTCTAAAAAAAAATGACTAAAAGTGGATTGTCAACTATAAATCTAGGACAAAAAATCGAATTAACTCTTAATCTATGCCTAATGATTTTCATGGTCATTATATTTGTGCACAGACAAAGATTTTTAATGTTAAGACAAAGCAAAGCATCAGACATTCAGACTCACCTTTCACCATCGAGCACACAAACAGCACAAGTACCAGTCGGGGTAGTCTCATGCTCATAATAGTGAACCTAAACATGCCATAATGTTAAGGAAAGGAATAGGCATCATCTTAGTAACCCAATTACATAAAACCGAAACAGAAAAAACGCTATTATTGAAGTAACAAAAATAAAAAATATGATTATTAGGAGACCAAATAGAAAGCAGCAGAGGCAAAAATTTACATTAACACCAGCTTCTTTTGCATTTTTCTTCATTTCTTCCCCAAACTTGTCCTTCCCAATGCAACCCATGTAACTGGTGGCACCCGGTTTTTGAAGCATCCACTGCAAATGCAAGACAAAAGTTGTTTTTATGCTCTTACTAAACCATCTTCCAGTTATGTAAATCTTATTTAAGCCAATAATAGTATGATACCTGGGCAACTCTGATTGAATTTTGAGTTGCACCTGTGACACAAAATTAGCAAGCAACCATGTAACCAAAACCCAACAAACATCATTAAAAAGAAGAATATGTCAGACAAGTTCTCAAAACTTGCAAGTTTCAAGGACAGTACCTCCAGCAATATACTCAACAGTATACTTAGATGTCATTTCTTCATACCTTATAACAAAGAAACAAACAAACAAGACTTTCAGCATCAATTGAAGTACCAAAACAATCATTACAGAGTATTCTATACAGTCCAACAACATATTTAGGCAAAACTTACATAGGCAAGTGTTTTTCATCGGCAAGAATTGCATTGTTCAACTTGACATCGTACCTATCAGTTAAAAGAAAAGGTCATTGCCATAAACAGAAATACAAATACCCACAGCAATATGTGCATCAATTCAGATCAACAACAAGATCAAAGATCAAACAAATCAAGCACCAAACACACGCTAAATTAAAGGATCTTGAAATTCAGCCAGATCTAGGATCTCAAACAACCCATTACACAGTTAGTTCATCAAGTCCAATGAAAGAAGGAAAAGCTACGAGATTTTTGCCAATGTGGATTGAAAATAAAAACAAACCGCGAAAAAATGGGAACTTGGGAAATCTAAAGATCTGGGCATCAATGAAATGGCAAAAAGTGCGTACTTGTTCAAGAAATCATTGTCGACAACAGCAGAAATATCGAGGAGTGGATTTCCCATCCCCAAAAGAATTCCCTCGCACGCCATTCCCTTGTTGCTGCAAACGCTTCAAAACTTGAAGGAGTGCAAATGCAAACGCTTTCAGCAGCAATTGAAGGAATGAATGATGCTAGTTTGTGAGTGTGAGCATATAAATATACTTCGGAATTCGTCACAAATGGGCTTGGGTTGGTGAGGGGTTGGTGAGATACAGACTCCCAGATCTTGAAGGCCAGACTTTTACTGCACCAAATCTGCTATTTTATTGGTTAAAATTAAAGTGAATGAATAAAAACATTGTTCTACTTTATTAAATCAATCGGATGACACTCATAGGTGGCAAATTATGGTGCATGGTGTATACGGATGCAAAAACGACGTCGTTGCGTCTCCTCTTAAAAAAAAAAAAATCAGGTTCGATTCCAAACAACAACATATTAACTAAAATTCCATAATCGATGAACTATAATTCCATAATCTAATCTATGAACTAAAAATTTCAGAATCGATGAACTATAATTCAATTATCAATGAACTATAATTCAATTATCAATGAACTATAATTCCATAATCTATGAACTAAAATTTCATAATGAATGAACAATATAATGTTGTTGCTGGGAATCGAACTTGAATTTTTTTTAAAGGGGAGATGCACGTTTTTTTAATAAAACGACGTCGTTTTGGCATCCGTATGCACCATGCATGGTGCATACGGATGCACAGCATAACGATTGCTCATAGGTAGTAAAAATTGGAGTAGAGAGTGAGAGTATGTGGTATTACTCCTAAAAAACTGATTTCTTTTTAAATTAAAATTCATCAAAAGAAGGGGAAAAACCGGAAAATGGCATTAGTTTTTTTTTTTCTTTCTTTAATGATGAAAGAATTTTTTTTTTTTTTTGGGATAAGAGTCAAAGACTCCAATTATATACCAAAGTGCAATTAGATTCTCGAACTAAAAAACTTTCAGTTAGACATTTAAACCCTTAAACTTGTTAAATTTGTACAATTAATCTATTTAACTTATAATAACATGTTATTTCTAAGTCATCTGCCACGTATAATGCCATATAAGATACAACTTAAATTAATATTTTTATAAAAATTAAAATAATAATATTTATTTATAAAAAATAAATTAAATTAAAAAAAAAAACATGGCAGCCAAGTTGCCATGGAAATCGTCCATGGCAGGTTGGCTGCCAATATTTATTTATAAAAAAATTAAATTACTTTTTTATAAAAATGGCAGCCAAGCTGCCATGAAAATCGTCCATAGCAACTTGGCTACCAAAGCAACTGCTGCCATGGACGAAGAATCTTGGCGGGCATCTCCATCTTAGATGGAGAAGTCCGCCATGAGCA